ACTACCTCTGTAGGACACTGTGATGCATTAAGCACACCAGAATCAAGGATAATTCCCTGAAATGGACATTAACAACATTTTTGACAATATAAAGGGCAAACCCTAATTCAAAGGTAAGACCAATAGAAGCGTAAACTTTGTGACTCCTACGACATGTTTCTCGCCAAAACTGGTGCTTTCAAAACTGTTGGGTAAGTAATTCTTCAAGAAAAAAGAAGATTCTGATATATATATATATATATATATATATATATATATATATATATTCATAGAGAGTTCCACCATGAAAATAATTAGGTTTTCATTATTTCCACTATAAATGCACCTCAATCTGACTCAATCACCACCAATCCAAACAGTTAACCTACGTGTCTAAGTCTTACAACATTCAAATCATTAAATCTAATCATCAATTCGCCAAAAAGGACCATGAATCATATATTATATATATATATATAGAGAGACGCCTATATACATATATATCACAATCTTTGTGTTGATGACATTGAGGACTCGTTTAAGATGGTGGACAAGTTTCCTAAGGGTTTCGGAGGAGGCTAGATGCATGAATCACGTGCTTCAAATTTTTTTACTATGAACGCCGAAGCTTTAAGTAATTCTGGCAATGATAACTCGTGCTTGATACGTGCCAGCGATTGTGGCATCTTCACCTTCCACAAACCCGTTGATGCTTCAAATCGGGAAGCGTATCCGTGATTTATTGAGATGGCTTGTTGTTGGGGACGCTATCAACGACAATGGTGACTTAATCGGCGGTGGAAGGGGAGATGACGACGTAGGTAATTTTGAAATCTTCCTGAGATGGATTGGTAAGGGTTAGGTCTTCTTCACATCGGCATAAGTTCTTCCTCTATATTCATCTTTCCTATTAATGATTGTTTGAGTTTTCTTGAGACCCATGGCCTTTGTCTTCCTGCAATGAAGTGTGTATGCAACACATGTGTATATATATAGAACGTGGGAGTGTGAATATAGATAAAAGCTAGGAGGTAAAGGTAATTTCAATTTCGTAAGTTAAATTTTATTAAATAAGATAGAACAGTAGTAAAGGGGTAGTATAGTCAATTTTAGGGTGAGATAGTGATGATGTCAGCATTGACAGTGCCGGAAGTTAACCGGAGGGGTATATTTGTTACAAAGTTTCAAAAGTAAGGAAGGTAACCGAAATTATGCAAACTAGAGGCGTGATTTAACATATTTGCAGGGGAGGTAACTGTAAATTATCATTTTCCATTGAATTCCTAAATCACTAAATTTTCATTTATACCTTACTAATTAAATATACTCACGTTAAATTAATTATAAAATCAAACTTTAATATAGCCTTATAAAATTAGACAAAATATTTTTTAAAAAATGAAAAAAAATAAATTTTGCTGAAAAATTATACAATAATTGATTTCTAAACTTTAGAAATTTGATTTGAAATGTGAGAAATTAAAAGAGGCTTTTATATTTTGACTTAATATACCATTAGGATATTTAATACCTACATAAACTGTGGCCAGTGGCCAATGACCCCGTTTTCTCTACACACAAATAAGACCTAGAACGCAATGCGGCACCATACATACGATGGCGAGCGAAAGGGATGCAGCAGAACCGGAAGAGAAAAGAACCAATAAGACCAAACAGAGCACTGCTCTGCCTGAAAATTCAAAGCCATTGGCAAACCTTCCCTATGAAATCATCGTCGAAATACTCTCCAGACTACCGGTCAAGTCTCTTTTACAATTCAGGTGTGTTTGCAAATCATGGTACTTTTTGATTTTCGATTCACATTTCGTTAAAACCCATCTTAGTAGGTCAACTGAAGATGATGACTATAAACACTATAGAGTCATTTTGTGCTTAATTCACGCAAAATTTGGTTTCAAGTCTTGTTCACATTTACTCTGTATTGTATAAACCATTTGTTGGTGCCTTTGAGCTTGATTCTCCATTGAAGGATCCCATGACTCGGCTTGGCTTGTGGGTTCTTGTATGGGTTGCTCTGTTCATATGGAACCCATCTATTAGGAAATTTTAAGAGTTTGCCTGCTTCGGGCATGAGAATGCGGTGAGTTTGTTTTATGAAATAAGGGTTTGGTTATGATGAGTCCATTGATGATTACAAAGTGGTAGGAGTCTTTGGTGGTGTTGGTGGTATTAGGGGTTCCTATGGAATCGAAGTCAAGGTTTATACCTTAAAGACTAATACTGGAGAAGGGTTCAGGACTTCCCTCGTGCTATTCATATCGATGATTCGGGTGAATTTGCAAATGGAGCTCTCCATTGGGTTGTGACTTGCGGTACCGGATAAAATTATTCTTGAGTGATTGTTTCCCTTGATTTAGAAAAGGAGACATACAAGGAAGTGGTGCAACCAAAGTACGGAGATGGTGTTTTCGATTTGACATTGGGGATTTTGAGAGAATGCCTATGTGTGTTGTGTAACTACCATGGAAAACATGCTGATGTATAGGTCATGAATGAATACGGTGTAAAAGATTCTTGGAATAAATTAATCAGTATCCCCTATTTGACAGATCCCGGGAATTGTTAGTACTTGGCACCATTGTGCAAAAATAGCTACCAATAAATGGGAGGTTGATGAATTACCTTTTTGTAATATATATGTTGTTTAAATCATATGACACCACCACTATTATTGGATGCAAGAAAGATTTTTGGACCATTTATTGTTGCCAATGATTGCATTTTGAAAGGTTTAATGTTTAAACTTTATTCGAAGTTTTTTGTAACGACATTATCATAAGCTGAGGCGGAGAACAAATTTTCTTGGACTTTGGCCTATGATTGAGTCCATAAAAGCTACTGGGCTGCATAATGGTGTTACCTTTTATGTCAAATAGACAGAATCTATTGTTTAGTTCATGGAAATTTAGGTAATTTTTTTCTTAATTCAATAGCATTAATTTTATGTCTAATATGTGTCATTTACATGCATTTGTTATATGTGTTCTACTTTTATTCAAGGATCAGTAGAGACCTTTCATGATCTAACGCATGGTATGGACTAATATTTGTGTGTAAAACATTTCTATGACAACTTCCAAGTTGAATTTTAGAGGAGTTAGTTGAAAAATGATCTACAGGCAGCAACCTGTGCATATTCAGTGGCTGAGTTTGATATTCAAGTGTAGGAGGGATACATATGAACAGTCGAGGAGGGATTCTTGAGAGATGGATGGACAAGGTCAAAGTTTATATGTAATTTTGATTTGGTGACAAACTTGCTATTCTTTCAATTGATACATTCATTGAGCTTAGGAGAAGCCAGTAATCACACTTCGGTGGATTCGTCACCTTTTGACAAAAGACTTCCAAGAGAGAAGATAATGGATGATGAAACAGGAGGGCTTGTTGTGTCCAAATACTAAAAATGAGTTTCCATGTAGCAAGATGTATTTGATTGTTGTGTGGTACAAAAGGAGAGATATGAGGTAGAATACCAGTGTGACTGGTGCAATTGATTCGGTGCAACATACCTATAGTTGTGTATGTAGATCCATTCTTCCGCAAATAGACGTATCCCTGCAGCTATTCTCTGTTGTTCAGTTGAGTGGTTAAATTCCCTGTAGCTATTCTCTATTGTTGAGTTGGTAGCTCTTCAAGCTTTTCTAACTAGCTTTATGCTTGCTTTTCTAATCAATATAATGATGCCGTTAACTTTATATATATATCCCTCCTTGTTATCTTTTAAGGAAACATCTTGCACTAATGAGAATACAAGGCAAGCTAGAAATTGATTGACCGTAATGAGGAAAAGAGATACATATAGTCCAAATAATTTGGCCAAAGGCAAATAGATGTATCCCTGCTTGGTGAGTGCTACTGTAAATTTTAATTTTAATTGAGAGGTCAAATTCCCTGCAGCTATTCTTTGTTGTTCAGCAGGTAGCTCTTCAAACTTTTCTAATCGATATGATGATGCCGTTAACTTTATATATATATATCCCTCTTTGTTATCTTTTAAGGAAACATCTTGCACTAATGAGAATATAAGGCAAGCTAGAAATTGATTGATTATAATGACGAAAAGAGATACATATAGTCCAAATAATTTGGCTAAAAGCATTGTTGAGTTGATTATATTTTTCACTAGGACCAAAATATGAAGATAGTCAATAATAGCTTGTTACATTGTTGAGAAAAATATGAATGTTGATTTTCCACAGAATTAAGTAGGTAGGAGAAAAGCTTATTTTTAATACTTTATTGCTAATTGTTACAGCCTAGTTTATTGATTATTTTGTTTATATTGTTACTTTATCTGTGTTAAAATGTGTACATCATTTTTATATCATGTAGATTATACCTATTATGTCTCAGTGTTTGGAATATTTACTCTCATTTTCCTAGTTAAGAATTGTTTTGACATTATTTTGATAATTATTCACATTTGCTTTCCTCCCTCAACTCCATTCAATTGTTTTTTGTATTTGTTGTTTTCCTCGCCTTTCTGAGATATTTCTATCACCAGTCTAACAAATAAATAATCTGAAATAAAATTTTGATCAATTATACATTTAGGCATGGATAAAAAAAAAAAAAAAAATCCTAATCTAACACTCTTTGGATACATATTGGTTCAACAAGTTTCTTGTGTCCCAAATCATTAGGTTTAAAAATTTTCATGTCATTGCCAGCATTTCAAGTACTACAGTTGATCCCCATCTCATAGCCAAAACTATCTTCTTCGTTCTTAAAAAATAATTCAAAAATTATTCCATTGCTAAATTATCCCAAATCCTAAAAAGAACAAATTTTCAATTAACCTGTTATGTCAAATGCCAAACAATAATAGATGGGAAAAGATAATGGTAGAGAATGACAGAGAATAGAGAAATAGATAAAGTGAAGTTTTATTCTTTAGATTTGAACTAATTGCAACATCAACCATGAGTATGTATAAAGCTAGTTATAAGCATTAGTACACTTGACTGCTTTATATAAGCAAACACTAGCTAATTATACTAATGAACCAATAGCTTGTACAAAGCATCAAAAACAAAGTAATAGCTAGAATACATACGCTCCTCAGTGAAATTGAACCACCTTCTTCGCCAATACGGATTGATAGCCAGAACAGAAGCCAGTGCCAATAAGAACATGATGTATGACACAGAAAAAGTAACATAAAAAGCCCCTGGATCGATTTCATACCATTTTGCCTCACTGTCTTCTGAAATTGTTGTTGGTCTGTTTGGAGACTGAACAATGGTGGTACAATTTTTCTCTAATTGTGGTCCACAGAGATACGGATTTCCCTCGTAGCTACTCCCATTAAATGTCAAGAATTGGGCCTTCATGTCAAGAGTTTTACCTGATAAGTTGTTGTGAGCTACAGAGAAGACTGCTAGAAAATTGAGATCAATCAGCTCAATAGGGATCACTCCACTCAAGTTATTGTAAGAAAGGTCCAAGCTCTCTATTTGAGTCAGGCTAGAGAATGTTTTGGGAATGGATCCTTTTAACTGATTGTGAGACAAGTTCAATGCACGAATCTCAACTAGCTCTCCTAGCTCACGAGGGATTTCACCTGTTAGGTTGTTGCATGACAAATCCAATCCTGACATGTAATTCAGGATATCACCCTTGTAAGACCTATGACTTCTTTTTGTAACAAAGTCGGCTTCTGCTAGTACTGGTGTATCAAATACATCATATTCACCCAATGAGAATGTTCTCACTAAGAAACTTCCATATGTTGGCGTATTCAACCTACGCTTCATACCCGAAAGATGATGGCCTAATTGAAAAAAGCCGTGGTCATTTGGGCCAAAAGAGAAGTTACTAATGCAATGAGGTATCGACCCAGAAAAATAGTTGTTGGATAGATCCAAAAGGGATATCTTATTCAACTTACACAGTTGATTTGGAATCAAACCACTCAAATGGTTTCCCCTCAACAGAAGTACTCTTAAGTGGAAGAGTGCGCTAATCCCATTGGGAATATTGCCAGATAAGCTGTTATCGCTAATGTCCAATGTCCTCATAGATGATGAATTGACAAAAGCATTTGGTATTGGTCCTGTGAATTTGTTTGCCTGCAAATAAATATGATGTGTTGGGTATGAGCAAGAAGGTAACGATCCTGAAAGACAGTTATGAGAGACATCCAAAATCGCATCTACGGCTAGTTCACATGGTAACCGGCCTTTGAAAGAATTATTTCGCATGATGACGGCATCCAAATCTGTCATATTACTTATCCAGCTAGAAATCATCCCTGAGAAGTAATTGTTGCTAATGTCCAACACAACTAGATGGGGGCTTTTGGAAATTGTGTTGGATAAAATTCCCGAGAACTGGTTGTCATCCAAAAGCAGCTCGCTTAAGTCAGTCAAGTTGAAGTTTGTTGAGAGTATTTGGCCATGAAATTTATTGCTGGATAATTTCAAAACACTCAAGTTGATGCAACCAGAAATCAGTTCCTTTGGTACTTCCCCAGAGAACATGTTATCAGACAAGTCCAATTTCTCTAAGTCACTCATGTTGCAAAATGATGACGGAAGAATGCCGTGGAAAGAATTTGTGGATAAATTTAGATACGAAATGTATGGAAGCCTCCTTGAAATGTTTTCTTGAAGTTGCCCCGTAAAGTTATTGTTCGAGATATCCAGCCAACTCACGTTAAGGCGTGGTGGTAGATCAAATTGACCGGTGAGATAGTTATTCCTCATATTCAGAAATTCAAGTCTAGAATTATTATTAAGCAACCAGTAAGGTAACACTCCTTTCAAGTGGTTGTGGGAAAGATCAAGAAATCTTAATTTGTGTTGGTGGAAAAGAAACTTGGGTATTTCACCGGTGAGGCTGCAGTTCGATAACGAAAGGATTTTCAACTGATGCAGCTAATGCAACTTCGATCGGTGATGATGAAATTTTCTGAAATCGCCTTGAATCGCAGAGAGAGTATTGGGAGAGGAGAGAGAAAATTTGCCAAAAATAACCTAAAATGTTTATATACCTGAAGTAAGTATGTTTTAAGTTGGGCCGGCTACTTCTTCCGCTACAGTGAAATCTTGGGCAAACAGGGCTGAAACAAGATAAAACACCATTTTGGTGTTTCAAGTTTTGAGGTTTTTTACTGAAATGTTTTACAACTGTGCAAAACAAAACATAATCAACCAAACATGTTTTGGACTTCATTTGGGCTACTATAGCGGCCTAAAACAAAAGCAACAAAAATAAAATAGATACCAAACAGGCCCTAATCAATATGATGATGCCGTTAACTTTATTTATATATCCCTCTTTGTTATCTTTGAAGGAAACATCTTGCACTAATGATAATATTATTTATATATCCCTCTTTGTTATCTTTTAAGGAAACATCTTGCACTAATGATAATACAAGGCAAGCTAGAAATTGATGGACCATAATGAGTAAAAGAGATACATATAGTCCAAATAATTTGGCTAAAGGCATTGTTGAGAAAAATATGAATGTTGATTTTCCACCTATTTTTTATTGCTGTTTATTATGGAAACAGTTTGAGACTAGAATTAAGTTGGTAGGAGAAAAGCTTATTTTTAATACTTTATTGCAAATTGTTACAGCCTAGTTTATTGATTATTTTGTTTATATTGTTACTTTATATGTGTTAAAATGTGTACATTTTTATATTTTGTAGTTTATACCTATTATGTCTGTGTTTGGAATATTCACTCTCCTTTTCCTAGTAAAGCATTGTTTTGACATTATTTTAATAATTATTCACATTTGCTTTCTTCCCTCAAATCCATTCAATTTTTTTTTTTGTTTTTGTTGTTTTCCTTGCCTTTCTGAGATATTTCTGTCACCAGTCTGACAAATAAATAATCTGAAATAGGAGTATTTTGATCAACTATACGTTTAGGCATGGAGAAAAAAAAATTCATAATCTAACACGCTTTGAATACATATTGGTTCTAAATGTTTCTTGTGTCCCAAATCACTGAGGTTTAAAAATTTTCATGTGATTGCCAGCATTTCAAGTACTACAGTTGATCCCCACCTCATAGCCAAAGCTATCTTCTTCGTTCTTAAAATATAATTCAAAAATTGTTCCATTGCTAAATTATCCCAAATCCTAAAAAGAACAAATTTCAACGAACCTGTTATGTCAAATGCCAAACAATAATAGACAGGAAAAGATAATGATAAAGAATGACAGAGAATAGAGAAATAGATAAAGTGGAGTTTTTTTTCTTCAGATTTGAACTAAATGCTTTTATCAACCATGAGTATGTATAAAGGTAGTTATTAGCATTAGTACACTCGACTGATTTATATAAGCGAACAATAACTAATTATACTAATGAGCCAATAGCTTGTAGATAGCATCAGAAACAAAGTAATAGCTTGAATACATACACTCCTCAATGAAATTGAACCATCTTCTTCGCCAATAGGGATTGATACCCAGAACAGAAGCCAGTGCTAATAAGAACATGATGTATGACACACAGAAAGTAACATAAAAAGCCTCTGGATCGATGTCATACCATTTTGCCTCACTTTCTTCTGAAATTGTTGTTGGTGTGTTTGGAGACTGAACAACGGTGGCACAATTTTTCTCTAATTGTGGTCCACAAAGATAAGGATTTCCCTCGTAGCTTCTCCAATCAAATGTCGAAAATTGGGCCTTCATGTCAGGAGTTTTACCCGATAAGTTGTTGTGAGCTACAGAAAAGACTTCGAGAAAATTCAGATCAATCAGCTCTGTTGGGATCACTCCACTCAAGGTGTTGTAAGAAAGATCCAAGCTCTCTATTTGAGTCAGGCTAGAGAATGTTCTGGGGATGGATCCTTGTAACTGATTGTGAGACAAGTTCAATGCATGAATCCAAACTAGCTCACCTAGCTCATGAGGGATTTCACCTGTTAGGTTGTTGCATGACAAATCCAATCCTGACATGTTATACAGGATATAACCCTTGTAAGAGCTAGGCCTTCTTTTTGTAACAAACTCGGCTTCTGCTAGTAGTGCTGCATCAATTACAGATTCATAGAATGAGAATGTTCTCACTAATAAGAAACTTCCATATGTGGCCGAATTCAACCCACTCCAAGTACCAATGCCCATTTGAAAATACCCGTCGTGATTTGGGCCTATCTTTCCAAAAGAGAAGTTACTAATGCAACGAGGTATCGACCCAGAAAAATAGTTGTTGGATAGATCCAAAAGGGATATCTTATTCAACTTGCACAATTGATTTGGAATCAAACCACTCAAATGGTTTCCCCTCAACAGAAGTACTCTTAAGTGGAAGAGTGCGCTAATCCCATTGGGAATATTGCCAGATAAGCTGTTATCGCTAATGTCCAATGTCCTCATAGATGATGAATTGACAAAAGCATTTGGTATTGGTCCTGTGAATTTGTTTGCCTGCAAATAAATATGAGCTGTTGGGTATGAGCAAGAAGGTAATGATCCCGAAAGAGAGTTATGAGAGACATCCAAAACCCAACCTTCAGCTACTTCACATGGTAACCGGCCTTCGAAAGAATTATGAGAGACATCAAAAATCACATATTCTTCTGTCATATTACTTATCCAGCTAGAAATCATCCCTGAGAAGTAATTGTTGCTAATGTCCAACGCAAACAGCGCAGAGCTTTCGGAAATTGTGTTGGACAAAATTCCCGAGAACTGGTTGTCATCTAAAAACAGAGCCTGTAAGTTGGTCAAGTTGAAGTGTGTTGAGAGTATTTGACCATGAAATTTATTTCTGGATAATTTCAAAACTCTCAAATTGATGCAACCTGAAACCAATTCCTTTGGTACTTCTCCAGAGAACAAGTTAACAGACAAATCCAATATCTGTAAGGCACTCATGTTGCAAAGTGATGACGGAAGAATACCTTTGAAAGAATTTGTGGATAAATTTAGATACGAAATGTATGGAAGACTGATTGAAATGTTTTCTTGAAGTTGGCCATCAAAGTAATTGGCGGAGACATCCAGATATTCAAGTCTTGCATTGTTATTAAGCAACCAGTAAGGAAACACTCCTTTCAAGTTGTTGTGGGAGAGATCAACAACTCTTAATTTGTGTTGGTGGAAAAGAAACTCGGGTATTTCACCGGTGAGGTTGCAGTTTGATAACCCTAGGACTTTCAACTGAAACTTGGGAGCCCAATTTGAGTAATGATCAGTTTGCACCTGCAATTTGTTGCTGCCTAATTCAAGAATCTCAAGCTTGGAATGATTGGCTAAGGAGCTTAATGAGAATAAACCCTCAAAATGGTTGAAATTAAGACTGAAGTATTCTAGAGATGTGAGGGTTGATATTATAAAAGAAATGTTTCCAGTGAATTGATTCCAAGAGAGATCTAACCGTCTAAGGGATCTCAAATTGCTCAAACATGGAGGAAGGATTCCTTGGAACGAGTTACCACTAAGATCCAACTCTTGTAAGTTGTTTAATTCACACAAACCTGCAGCAGACAAGAAGAATGAGAGAGAAGTTGGAGTATCATTTTGTCTTGCAGCTAGTGATGTGTAAAAAGAAGATTTGATAGAATAAATAGTGAAGACACCATGCCACTCACTATTTTGTTTCAGTAGTTTTACCTTTAATAGACAAACTGTTGTTGAGATGATTCCACGCCAAAGACAGAGCCTTGAGAGAAGTCAAGTTCCCCATATGTGGTGGAATATTTCCAGTGAATCTATTATCGGTCAGATCTAACACTCTAAGGGATCTCAAATTGCTCAAACATGGAGGAAGGATTCCTTGGAACGAGTTACCCCTAAGATCCAACTCTTGTAAGTTGTTTAATTCACACAAACCTGCAGCAGACAAGAAGAATGAGAGAGAAGTTGGAGTATCATTTTGTCTTGCAGCTAGTGATGTGTAAAAAGAAGATTTGATAGAATAAATAGTGAAGACACCATGCCACTCACTATTTTGTTTCAGTAGTTTTACCTTTAATAGACAAACTGTTGTTGAGATGATTCCACGCCAAAGACAGAGCCTTGAGGGAAGTCAAGTTCCCCATATGTGGTGGAATATTTCCAGTGAATTGATTCCAATAGAGATCTAACACTCTAAGGGATCTCAAATTGCTCAAACATTGAGGAAGGATTCCTTCGAAATTATTCCAAGAGAGATCCAACTCTTGTAAGTTGTTTAATTCACACAAACCTGCAGCAGACAAGAAGAATGAGAGAAGTAGTTGGAGTATCATTTTGTCTTGCAGCTAGTGATGTGTAAAAAGAAGATTTGATGAATAAATAGTGAAGACACCATGCCACTCACTATTTTGTTTCAGTAGTTTTACCTTTAATAGACAAACTGTTGTTGAGATTGTTGTTCGCCAAAGACAGAGCCTTGAGGGAAGTCAAGTTCCCCATAAGCGGGGGAATATTTCCAGTGAATATATTACCGCTCAGATCTAGAACCTCCAAGTTCTTGAATGAAATCAAATCTTCAAAATGAAGAATTTAAATAATTTAGTGATGTTTCTAGTAGAATAACCAAATATTGACTTCCATAAAAATTTATCCGGAAAGTGGTTCAGTTTATTAGCGATCAAGTGGTCCAACATTAATTTAGTGGCCATAAAAGTGGTTCAGTTTCAACTTAATAGCTCAAGGTTGCTAATGGTATTAGAGATATGGTTAAATATTACAAGTTCACATCAAAAAAATTTCAATTTCTGATATGAAATCTTTTGGTAGCATAAAATTTTCATGGTACTAGGTTCAAAGTAAAAGCACTAGAGATCGAAGAAAGAGGTTTGTGGATGAAATCGATTAAGGTTGTCTCAAAGTTTTGATCCAATTTAAAACTTTTTTTTTTTTTTTTTTGGCTGCTTTATTACTTTAAATTTCAATTTAAAATATAAATGTTTTCAGAAAGATCCTAACTAACATCATGAACTCTTAGACTATAATTTTTATTTATTTATTTATTTTCTGTAAGGTGGTGATCTAAAATAAACTTTCAAATGGATAATTTTAATTTTCTAAAAAGAAAATAATGCATAAAATGAATGTTTTCTTGAGTGTTTAAATTCTAAAAAGATATTAAAAAGAATTAAATGGAAGATGCAGTATATTGCATATTCTTCCTTACAAGTTAAGTTAAGCTAACAAATCATAATAAAAAATACGTAATTTTTAAGTCGTTCAATTAAAGTAAATTATTTAATTTACAAATTTTGACGGGTCAAATTTATAAGATATAGCGAAACGAAACCCAAACTTTTTTATATATTTAATGAACATAACACATCAAAAATAGCAGGCGGCCAGTCGATAGACACAACTTTTAGTGGGGCCCACCCTTTATCAACTTGGACCCATCCTGGCAGAAGTGTCAAGCTTCATTATTATTATTTTAATAAATATTGATTTGATATTTTTTAGTGACAAGCCCTGAGCGAAGTCAAGGTCCCCATAAGCGGGGGAATATTTCCAGTGAATATATTAAAGCTCAGATCAAGAACCTTCAAGTTGTTGAATGAAATCAAATCTACCAAATGAAGAATGCTGATAATTTAGTGATGTTTCTGGTAGAATAACCAAATAAAAAATTATCCTTACAATTAATAACTAGAAGGAAGATATTTGTGTAGCGTGCCATTCAGTCCGTATAGAATACATACGTAGCCATTCTATAATATGAAACCCAACCAATTTCTCATATTTTTCCCTCTTATAACCAAATGGTACAAAAATATTTATCAGAAAGAAAATTTCAACTACACATACCATTATTGGAAAGGGGCCCCTCCAATCCATTGGACCCCAGTGATAGAAATTTAAGAACTGGGAGATTAGCCAATCACTTTAGAATGTCTTTGTTGAAATAGTTAAAGCTTAGATCCAAGTGCTCTAACTTGCTCAACTTTGACAAAGTTTGGTAATTTGAGCACGTATTGAAGAAGACACAGATTAAAAATGATACTATGATTTAAGCTTATTTACCATCATATATATATATATATATTAAAATAAAAGAAAAAAGAAAAAAAAGAAGAAATCACAATTATGTGACTTAAATTTTACATCCATTGTTGAAGATGGTCTAGAGATTTAATTGTTACCTCTACACTTGCAAACCTCAACTTAACAAGCTATCTTTTTTGATAAAGCTCTTATATACTTCAGTTCAATATACAAGAGAAATAATCATATTAATTACAAACTAAAACAAATTCCGGACTTACAAACGGTCTTGCAACCAAGAAAACTCAGGTTTTATATTAAATTACGAACATAGAACAACTTTAGTTATAGTGATGGTGGTGGTGGTAATAATCTTCACCAGATCCCTACATATTGAATTGCAAAAGAAAATTCTAAATATGTATCTAAGTAGCTTTTACCTTGCACTGGAAGGGGGACATTTAAACTGTTCCCGCTTAGATCCAACTTCTCCAATTTCCTCAGAGCTGATAGCTCTGTACAGTTAAATTAATTGAAACAGAAAGAGTAAAGACAATTGAATAGGAATTATATATATATATAAAGGTATTGAATGTTAGATGCTCAGTATAAATGATGTGAACAAAACATGCCTTTGACAGGAAGAGGTCCTTCCAACATATTCCAACTGACATTTAAAGTTTTCAGTGATGTGAGTGAACCCAAAGGTTCTAGGACACTGTTATTGAAGCCATTAAAAGCAAGGTTTAAGATCTCCAATTTCAACAACCTTTCAAAACCTGCAAATTAAGAGAGAATAATTACTTCAAATGAAATAAATTAATAAATAAATCTCCATGCTTCTGTATAATACTAGTACTATGTAATCACCTACCGTAGTAGCGATGTTTGGAAGCCCAAGTGAAATAACAAAAAAACGGAAAACCTTACAGATTATTTGAAACAGTGGAAGGCTTTGATTTATGATTTAGAAGAAAAGAGAAAAAAATAATTACATAGCAAAGGATTGACATTGTAAGGCTGATCATCAGATTATTGAGAGTGAGATCCACCACTCTACCTGTAGCAAGCAACTCTCTCCCAATCGCAGCATTCACTTTGTAATTATATCTTCTAATATGATTAACTTATAATTAAATTTTACAATTTATTATACTTAGTTTAAACTTTTTTTTACCGGAAAAATTCCCTTCTTTTTTATCCAATATCTATGAAATTTTAATAAAATACTTAAATAAAAAATACTTTTTTTATGTAATATATTCTTGAAAATAATAAGAAATTACTTAAATTGTTTTAAATTTTTTTATTTAAGATTTTTATTTAAACAATTAATACAAAAAATTAAAAGTAAATTCATGCAAATTTAAAAGAGAAAGAATATATGTCATCAATATAGTATGAGTTTTTTTTCATATCATAATTTATTTTAAAAAGAAAAATAAATTAAGTATAATTAAGAAAGAAATAACATTATGATTATTTAAAAAAAAAAAAAAAAAATAGTCTAGACTTTAGCCAACGAAATGTTTAGATTACCTTCATTTTCAATAGAGCCATTAAATCCATTCTCAGATAAATCAAGACTCAGCAGCTCTTCAAAAGGTTTAAATAAGGAGACATTTAAAGAAGGCCAATCATGGTAAGAAACGTAGTGGTAGTGTGGCCCTAGCTGCCTTAGATCATGGAGAGTGAGCTCCACCACTCTGCCTGTCGTGTGGTTGCAAGTAACTCTCTCCCAGTCACAGCAATCACTTTCTCTCTCATCAACCCACGAAGGAAGAACCAAATCATGCCTTATCTCATCATCAGTACTGTTCCGAATGAAAGAGGCCTTGAGTTGAAGCAACCCAATCCTCTCCTCTTCAACACAACCTTCCACTCCTTGGTTTACGTTTTCAACCAATAAAACTATGAAAACCCATAATAACAACAACTTCACAACGACTGCCCACCCCATTAATTGAGATATATAGAGTGAATATGAGATCAAATACATCCACATTTATATGCAGTTCTTAGTCGCAATGCATTTATGTGTAGCCCCCACACGGATCATGACAATTGATAATTTGTACATACACGTGTTGGAAAAGTTGCATAATTAATATGGTAGACTTCAGAAAGGAGGGAGATGAAAAAGGAAGCAACGAAAAGTCTTTCCCTTGAAACACTACTTTTTTTAATTTTTATTATTATTATTATTATTGTTATTATTTTGATAAGTGAACTCTTTTATGAGGAAAATTATGAATTCTTCCGATTCAATTATTAAATTAAAAAATATATTAAATATGGAGTAATTAATTCGACGTTTTACAAATCTTAAAAAATTATTACAATTTAGTGATAAAATAGGGAGATTTTTTAAGTTGAGAGCGTCATTTTTATTTAGAGGAGTACTAATGTCTCTTTTCTATTTTTTAGGAATTATAAAATTTCAACTTTGAAACCAAATTACCCTTTTAAATTATTTCTTAATCTTCATTCTTTCCTTTGTTACATACATTTAACTTTATTTATTTTTCTTTATTTTTAACAATTGTCTTATTTATTTATTTATTTATTTATTTATATATATATATATATATATATATATATATATATATATATATATACAGGAAGACTTTCATACGGTCCAAAATAATAAATTTTTTAATGGACCAAAAGTCAATTAGAAAAATTACACCTTATTACCTTATCATACCTAACCATAATTAATTTACCTTTATTCAATCTCTCTCTCCTTAATCTCTTCCAACGTCCTTGTAATTTCAATCACTACAGTCATATTCACATCATCACAACCACCATCTTCATCACTAAGCCACAAAACAACTACCGTATTCATTCTCCAAAATTGGATCCAAGTCACAACTCACAACTATTAAATGCAAGTACTTTTATATCTAGAGCCAATAAATTGTTAGAATTTGGAGATTTTTTATTTCTGTCTCAATATTGAGCTTGAGCTATGGAGTTCCAAAAACCCCAAATTTGGAGACCTTTAATTGTTTCCATGGCAGGATTAAGCAATATATGCTTTCTGTTTGAGATTCCATTATTGGAGGTTGTGCTTATTCACGAATCCTAAAAAATTGGTATCCATTGATCAAAAAAAAAAAAAAAAAAAAAAAAGTTTATTCACAAAGTGTGGAATAATGAGTCGATGAAAAAAAATAAAAAATAAAAAATAAAAAATAAATAAGAGAACAACAGTCAGGCCATGAAGGGAAAAATAAATAAAGAGAGCAAAAAAATAAAAATAAAAAATCAAAGTGCAAAAATGATTGAGCCGTAGTAGTTGAGATTGCAAGAACGATGGAAGAGATTAAGGAGAGAGAGAGATTGAATAAAGGTATTGGCTAATTATGGTAAATTAACTATGATTAGGTCTGATAAAGTAATAAAGTGTAATTTTCTTAATTGACTTTTGGTCCATTGAAAAGCCCGTTATTTTGGACCGCGTGAGAGCCTTTCTGTATATATATATATATATATGGATTTTTATTGGATTTTATGTAATTTAATTGAAATAACAATATGAGATTTAGTTTTAATTGAAGTAATATTATAAAATTTGATTTTTAGTTAATATATGAGATACTAAAAGTTTTATTCATAATATGATTAACTACTATATATATCTATATATATAGATAACGAAAGAATTGGAAAAAAAAAAGGAACTAAAAACAAAAAAAAGAAAAGAAGTAATCAATTCACATAAATTTTTTTTCTCTCTCTTTATCTAAGGAGAAACAGTGAAACCATTCACATTCAAATTTATTTATTTAAAAATTTAAATTATTAAATAATGTTATATACTCATTTATTTATATCCAATTACTCAAATTTAATGTGAAACAAACATTTCTTGTAACACCAATTCATTAATTGCAGTGAATATATGATCAATATAAGGTCACTTCAAAAGTATGACACAATATAAAGTACTCAAAGTAGACTAGTTGTGTAACGATCATTCATATTTATATAGTCTTCTAGTCTTCTATCAACAGTGTAACGATCATTCATATTATATATATATATATATAATTAAAAACAATTATATATAAATAACCAACTATAACAAATGAATGCATATCTATAAATGACCAACTATAACGGGTGAGTTTATATTTATTTATTTAAAAATTTAAATTATTAAATAATGTTATATACTCATTTATTTATATCCAATTACTCTTTCATTCAAATTTAATGTGAAACAAACATTTCTTGTAACACCAATCAATTAATTGCAGTGAATATATGATCAATATAAGGTCACTTCAAAAGTATGACACAATATAAAGTACTCAAAGGAGACTAGTTGTGTAACGATCATTCATATTTATACAGTCTTCTAGTCTTCTATCAAGTTATTAGTCCCTTGGCAATCAATATGTTTATAGGTTTCCCCACGGCCGCACAGCCAATTGACAAATGGGACATGGGCGTATGGAAAAAGGTACATAAAGAAGAGAAAAGACGAGAGGAAGGAGAGGGGGAAGAAGGCGAAGCGATGAAAAGTCTTTCCTTCCACATTTATAATCAGTTTTTTAGACTTCTTTAGTCATAAACGTAGTTCTTAGTCCTTTCGCAATCAATGCATTTATGAGTAGCCCCACCCTGAGCATGACAATTGATAGTTTGTAATTTTGTACATACACGTGTTAGAAAAGTTGCATAATTAATAGAGTAAACTTCAGAAAAGAGGGAGATGAATGGAAGCAACCAAAAGTCTTTCCCTTCCACCAGAAATTAGATTCGGGCTCAGTTTCATTACAATTTTTAATCCATATTTTAACAGTTGAATTGATCCGAACATTTCATTAACGTTGCATTGATATACAACTAGAAAAAATAGAGTTTTATAAAAAATATAGGAGGAAAGGAGAAAAGAAATATTTTTATTTTTATAGTGAATACATAATCGATATACAAGTTAATCTTCAAAAAATATATATAATTATTTAAATTTATAATCAATTGTTAGACTTTTAATCTTCTATATATATATTTTTGGTCCTTTTTCAATTAGAACCCTCTAACGACCACAACAATTGACAAATTGGTAATAGACGAATGGAAGATGACGAATAATAAAGACAAAAAGACAAGAGGGAGGAGGAATGAAAGGAAAATAATAAAAAACATTTCTTTTCGTGAATAATTGGGTTGGACGGTTGTTTATAAATCAATTATAAAATAAATTTGATTTAAGCTTATCTAACATCATATATATATTTATATATGTATATATATTAAAAGAAAATATAAAAGAAAAAGAAATCACAAGTATGTGACTTAAAAGATGGTCTAGAGATTTAATTATTACCTCTACGCTTGCAAACCTCAACCTAACAAAGCTACTACGTATCTTTCTTTCTAAAGCTCTTATATATACTTCAGTTCAAAACACGAGAGAAATAATCATATTAATTACAAACTAAAATAAAATCCAGACGTACAAATGGGTCTCGTAACCAAGAAAACTCAGGTTTTATATTCAAAATACAAGACACTATTACGAACATAGAACAGGTTTAGCTACATATTGAATTGCAAAAGAATCACAAATTTATTTGATAGAGTCTAACGAGGATTTGAGAAGATGATTTTAGTTTTAGAATATGATGTACGATTAAGAGACTGATAGTTGAAGTTAAAGCATAATTGGTCAGTAAAAGCTACTCTAAAGGAAGACAACTCTTTAATCTGCAACAAGAAAAGAAAATTGTAAATAGGGATCTATGTAACTTTACCTTCATTTTCAACAGAGCCATTAAAATAATTGGAAGATAAATCGAGACTCAGTAACCCGTCAAAAGGTTTAAACAAGGAGACATTTTGATAAGTACTGAAAAGTGCGTATTTAAACCCCTTAAGCTAAGGCATTCAAGTACCATTATCTATCTTACTTTATCAATTTAGATTGATTTCGTATGATTTCCATTTTCAGGCACTTATCCCAAAAATAACCTAACTCAACCAAATAAGAGCTTAATTGAAACAATTCTGGGATTGAACAAAAAAAGGAGTAAAGTGGAGGAAGAAAGAAGCAAAATGAAGCAAATCAGCAAGTTCGATCGATCCAAGTCCAAGGTTCGATCGATCGAACATTGATCAATCTCAGCACTTCAAGATAGATCCAAGCCTTGACCCAAAGCACTTAAGTCCAAAAGTTCAATCGATCCAACATCATTCTTCGATCGATCGAACACATTTGTCGTTATCTAAATGATTGATCCTATCCACAGCTGTACCACCCACCAACCACTTTTGTCCTTTTCCCATAAATATCTCCCATAAATATCTCGGATTTGTCTTTTTCCAAAAAGCTTAGCCAGTTAGATCGATCCAGCCTAAGTTCAATCGATCTCACTTACTTTCGATCGATTGAACTTCTTTCAGTGCGAAAAAGTTAAAATTCCATCCCATTGAAAGTTGTCCTTTATCCAATCATTAGGGAATATTGTGTGCACGACCCCAGCTCATTTTGGGTGTCATTTTGACCAACCTATATAAGGATAAGGATTGCTTTTTCAAAGGGGAGCCAATATTATTTTTGATATCATCTCTTGGAGAGGAAGTTTAGAGAAAGAAGAGGCTAGAGACACCATTGGAGATCTTCATCAACAAGGAGCAAACCTCTTTCATGGAGTTAGCCCTTGAGGGTTGGAGCATCCTCACCATGAGTGGCTAGACATCCTCTTGGGGCTAGAGTTAGCCCCAAGCATGTTTTCTATATCTTAATCTTGTGTATTATTGAGGGATTAGTGTTGTAATTGATATTTTGACACTTTGATATATATAAATCTTGTTTATTCAATGATTTATGTGGTTTAATGCTTTCAATTGATCATTTCATTCTATCCATATGTCTATGTATGCTAAAATTGATGTTCATGTTCTTGTCTCTAGATTTTGTGTTATTGATGCATGTATATGTGTATTGATGCAATAGATTTAGAGA